CAGTTGTGATGTACCTTAATAAGGCAGCTAAATAATTTATTTTTATTTTTTTAAAAGTTTTGCAGGATTTTTTTATATATTTTTTTTAAGTTCGGCTCGTTGTGAATCGAAAATGGCACGTGACACGACAAGCCACATGGGTCGGCTCAGGCTTGGGCTGATGCCCCAGAAACCACTCCACCACCACTATCACATTACAACCACTAACAACCAAGTAAACAGCCAACGATCAAAACAATCAAAAAAAATTGACTACTTGTTGTTGCATAGAGCCACTGTGCAGGGCCGCGGGCAGCGACGCTTATAGTGTCGCCATCTCGGGCAAAGGTGAAAGCCTCTGTGAGAAGGGAAATGTGTGTAGCGGCAATCTTCGACAGTGGGTGCGTCGTCGCTGTGAGAATCACTATCTCTGACGGTGGGTGGAACGTCGCTATGAGTTGGCGCTCAGGGTGATGCTTCGAAGTGAGAATAGAAAGTGTGTGTGCAGCGACAATCTCCGACAATAGGTGCATCGCCGTTGTACGTGTGACGGTGGTCTCCAACAGTAGGTGTGTCGTCGTCGAATTAAGGGGTGTGGATAGGTGGCGAAAGTGAGAAGTTGGATAGTGAGGTGAGAATATAATGAAATGATTATTAGGGTTCGGAATTGAATTGGATTGAGATATTTATTTGATATTTAACTACTATATTAATACCTAATATGTAAACAAATAAACTTCATAGTTGATTTATGAATTGCAATCTTTAAACACGTGTTGGCATGTAATTTCCACATTTTAATACTATTTTTATTTAAATTGTTTGATACACTTTCCAGTTTGAGCTCCATTTTTTTTTTTTTTTGCTAAGAATGCATTTTGAAATAATTGATTAACGGAGAATATATGGTTAAAAAATTAGAAAAAGTTTTAGATTTATGTATAGCATTATTTTATCAAAAAAGTATGATTAGAAATAAGAGAAAAATATATTTTTTTTTAAAATAATGGGGATCAAACAATGACTTATAATTAACAAGTTTTAAATAATAAATTACTTATTTCTCTATTAAATTAATTATATAACTCTCAAGAATTTATGACATATTACAATTCTTAGCCCCTATTTGGGCTCCATTAAATTGAATTTTGGAGAAAATGTGTCTTAGAATAGTAATATTTTGGAGAATGTGTGATTAAAAAATAAGAAAAAAATTTGGTTCACATGATATTTTTTTATGAGAGAATATGTGTTTGAAAATGAGTTTTTGAAAAAATGTATTTTTTGAATAATGGAGTCCAAACATTAAATTAATTTTTTATGGCAACACAACAGATTTATTTATTTAGAAAATCAATACTAAAATGTATAAAAGAAATAGTTGGGACTATTCCGACGACTGCTCCGATTTCGACGACCTCTCAGATGACATGAATTTTTTGTACGGTCACAGTCCAGGTCACAAGTCACAGTCCAAATCACAGCCCAGGTCACGGATCACAACGCATGATTTTTTGTTTATAATAATTAATAACACAATAAGGCTCAAGTCTCATATTTTTGTTAATAGTCACATATTATTTTCAAATAGTCACAGCACAAGTCACATAATATATTGCACATGGCTCACAGTCACAGGTCACAGTCCAGGACACAGCCCAGGTCACAGGTCACAACGCATGATTTTTTGTTTATAATAATTAATAACGCAATAAGGCTCATGTCTCACATTTTTGTTAAAAGTCACAAATTATTTTCAAATGATCACAGCACAAGTCACAGAATATATTGCACATAGCTCACGATTTTATTCGCAGTCCCTAGCACAAGTTACGATTTTGTTCATAGTCCCATGTTATTTTCAATCGCTCGGGTTCTTATTGATAATCACAGCATAAGTCACAGCACATGATTCAAGTCACGGCATAGGTCACATAGGCTATAGGCACCATCTCACCACCACCACTGTCATACATGCCCTAACCCTACTCCGTCGCTGCTAACACAGCTAGCAACTCACCACAAGCACCATCACTAACATCGCCAACACAGCCTCACCAATCGACGTCAAACCAAAAACCATGAAAATCTCCGGCACCAACAATATCACCGCCACCACCATAGAAATTATAAGATCCACAAAACCACCACCCCGCCACCACAGATACATCATCACCACCACAAAACCGCCCCTGCCAAACCCCCTACCACCACACTCGCAACACACACACACACACCCCACCACCATCTCCGTTTACACCACCCCCTTACCAAAGAATCCACAAAACCTGACGACAGCAACCACATCAAAAATCGCAACAAAACATGCCGAACAATCTCTACAAAACCTACCGCACAACGCCGCAAACCACCACAAGCAGCGTCGGCCGCTACCTAACTCATCTAGGGTTTATTTGATTTGGGCATTGATTCCAATTTTTGACTAGCAATCGATGGATCTGAAGGGAGACGAAAGAAGTGACGAGGGGCTGAGACGAAAGGAACCAGATGCGAAGGCTAGGGCTGATGGAGCCATAACGGTGATGAATGGAAGGTTGCTTTCAGCGCTGCGGCGGGAGTACCGCCGGATAACGCTGCTGCGAGTTCGCAGCAGCTTCCGCTAGTCACGTTTGACGCTATTGGCAATGACAGCTTCCGTTGGGAACTACGCAGCTTCTGCTGGTGATGCTCCTCCGATGAAGTGCCTCAACGCCGGAGCTGTGTTGCCGACGAAGAGATGGTGTAGGGTGATGGTGGCGGTGTGTAATGGAGAGAGAGAGAGAGAGAGAGAGAGAGAGAGAGAGAGAGAGAGATGTGTGTATATTATATAACACAGCCTCACCAATCACCGTCAAACCAAAAACCATGAAAATCTCCGGCACCAACAATATCACCGCCACCACCACAGAAATTATTAGATCCACAAAACCACCACCCCCGCAAACACGACCGCCACCAACAAATCCACCTCACAACCACCGGAAAATAAAGATCCAAAATCTGCACAATCGCCACCACGCCGGAGCAGACAATAACCACCACAGATTCACACCAATCGCCCTATCTCTCTCTCTCACGCATCGCCACCAACGATCAACCCAACCTGCCCCGTGGCCTTTAGAAAACAACCCACAGTAAAGAGCACAAAAAAAAAAAAAGGACGGACAGTGCACAGGAAGACGATGGCGGCAGAGGCGGAGGTTTGAGAGTGGAGAGACAAGTAGTGGACGTTGAGGAAGAAACCAACCCAAATGTCCAAACCCAAACCCAAAAGCCACGGAGTGGCTTCACAGAAGATCCATAAAAGTTGCAGCGGCGAGGCGTCGGTAGTGGAGGAAATTGAACCTGGTGGACGACGCCGCGTGAAATGCGATTTCGGCATTCTCTGAAGGTGGCGACGCAGTGGGGGAGACTCCCCTTCCACGCCGCTGAGAGAGTGGGGAGATAGGGGTAGGGGGGAGTTCTGAAAGTGAAATGGGAAATTAGGGATTTAATTCAGGCGAGATTGGGTAGGATGAGATAGGGTGTATATAATTTAATTTTTATAATATTACTATTAAAATTTAATTAAATATAAAAAACATGTATATATCAAAACTATCTTATTTTTTAACATTAAAACTTAAAATCCGATTTTTTAAATTGGATCTTAGAAAGTAGGGTTCCATGTAATTTCCACATTATATTATTGGAGAAAATAGTCCATCCTCCAAATTTATAGGAGAAAGTCGAGTTAACATCAAACAGTGCAAATTAACAATTGAACCAATAGTAAGTTCAACCCTTTATTGTGAATGAGTATTTATGACTCGCAAAAATTCTATTAGACCATGTTTGATAGCCATTATTTTGCCTAGAACTAGGAAAATCTTTTCATTTTTCATGCAAAGTGTGTGTTTGATGGGACAAATTTACCCGAGAGCCCCGCGCCTTTTTTCCTCAAGAGGAAAGTATTTTCCAAGTTCTGGGAATTTTTTTTTCTTTACTTTTTGACAATGTTAATAAATTTCATAATCAAGTATAAAAAAATTTTCACTTTAATGGACAATTTTCATATAAAATGAAGCCAAACGAACACTAAATTTTGATTAAAAAATAGTGAAAAAATAGTTTTCGAACAAAAATTTTTTTTTTTTTACTTTTTGGCAATGTTAATAAATTTTATAAGCAATTGTAAAAAAAATTTCATTTTAATGGATAATTTTATGTAAAATAAAGTCAAACGTGAACAAAAAAATCCAAAATTTCAAAAATTTTCCGGGTGAAAAATTATACTAATCAAACACACTTAATTAACAATTCCCTACAAAATTCTAAGCAATTATTTTCCCTAAAAATCATTTTCTTTCCACCAATTTTCCACCCTTACAATCAAGCGTACCCTTAGAGTTTCTTAATCCCGACACAGTTAACTCTTTTTTCAATGAATTATTAAAAAAATATGGAGGTGTTTGTTTTTTATTTGAGAATTGATTCCCAAATCAAATCAATTCTCATTTTTAACCACACATTTTTCAATAAAATAATATTTTCCATCTCATCAATAATTTTTTCTTCTTTTTCAACCACACATTTCTCATCATATCATTATTCAAAAATCAATTTTTTCCCAAAAAATACCTACCAAACAAGCTCTATGTTTTCAGTATAAGGAATCAACTACAATTTAAAAAAAAAAACAATCAAAATTATTAATCGAAGTTCATCTAATAACTTCCCAGAATTCTACTGGATTCTTATTCTCATTACAATAAGATTCTCCTCATATTTTTGTGACAAAAAATCGATACAAGTTTATCCACCCATTCTCTTTCCTACAAAAGAAAAAAATTCATCATCATCCACAGTATCTTTTTTTTTTTTTTTTCCTGATAAACAACAATATCTTATTCACAAGATTACCATCTATAAATTAACCTCGTTAAAGTATTTAATCAGTATAGTCCTGCTACTCTCACTTTCTAATTTCAAATAAAAATTCAATCTTGATTGATTTGTGGATAAAGAATTTGAGAGGGGAAATGGGAAAGGGTGGAATGTCTCGTGGAAATAGTGAGGAGGAAGAAGAGAACATGGCGGCTTGGCTTCTGGGTGTTAATAATCTCAAGATTCAGCCTTTCAAGCTCCCTCCTCTTGGTAATTGATGATTCTTCTGTTTTTACTATGTTTCTTTGAATTTCTTCATTTATATAGAGATGTCTGTTGATTTCTGAGTTTAGGGTTTGATAATTTTCAATTTGTTCTTATATATGTTTTCTTGTATGCTATTTTTAGGCCCCCATGATGCTAGAATTAGGATGAAAGCTGTGGGTATCTGTGGAAGTGATGTTCACTACCTCAAGGTGAAATCTTTTCTTATTTTATCAAAATAATATAAGCTAAAATCTTGCTTATCATACTGTCGAGTCTTATAATAAGATGATGGATATGTATTGTCAACAGACTCAACCTCAGATGAATATCATGTTTTATGAATATTTCAGGAGATGAAATTAGCTGATTTTGTTGTCAAAGAACCAATGGTGATTGGGCATGAGTGTGCTGGGATCATCGAAGAAGTAGGCGCTGAAGTAAAAAATCTCGTGCCTGGTGATCGTGTGGCAGTCGAACCAGGAATCAGTTGTTGGCGTTGTAATCTTTGCAAAGAAGGACGATACAATCTGTGTACTGAGATGAAGTTTTTCGCTACTCCCCCGGTCCATGGTTCCCTTGCAAATCAGGTATATATGGAAGACTAACTCTATTAATACCATAGATACAGAGAGTCTTCTGACTAAGCTTCATGTTCTTTCAAACTCTTTTTAAGTGAACAATTGAACATGCAGTACAAGAATCTTTCTGAAAGAAGTAATTTCTCCATTATGCAGCACAGGCACTAACATGTAAAGACCATTGTACTAAAACTTCAATCTAGGAGATTTCTCAATCTCACATTCTTACCACAGAAGTCTTTAGCCTTGACTACATGATATAATGCTGCAATTAAACATCTATCTCTATATTATGTTCCAGAAAGAGGTTTGTTGTACATATTTTGCAAAACCATGGCTTTTCATTGAACTTTGGCCAACTCAAGGAACTGCCATTATTGTCTCGACCTCTTCTCTCTTTTATGCGTAGTTGTGTATCCCTTTTGATTGACTGGATGTCATTTATAGGGGTTAATAGTGACATTCTTCTCTTGATCGCCTGCAACAGATTGTGCATCCTGCAGATTTATGTTTCAAACTCCCCGACAATGTGACTTTGGAGGAGGGGGCTATGTGTGAGCCCTTGAGTGTTGGTGTTCATGCATGTCGTCGTGCGAATATTGGTCCTGAGACAAATGTGTTGGTAATGGGAGCAGGGCCTATTGGGCTTGTAACACTGCTTGCAGCCCGTGCCTTTGGGTCTCCAAGAATTGTGATTGTGGATGTAGATGATTACCGTCTTTCAGTTGCTAAGGAGCTTGGAGCAGACGAGGCGGTCAAAGTTTCTACTGATATGAAGGTTGAATCTTGTGCATGAAGCATTTTTTTTTATGTGATTTATATTATTGTTCTAACATCAGATTATTCATGTTTATGACCCTTCCGAACTCCGATTGAAGCTATTGAAAAAAGGAAAAGGTGAACATCTGAGACGGAGGGAGGGGAAGCCCATTAATATTTTAAGCTAAAAACAATTATGAATTTTTTTCTATGTATCAGCCCAGTAGATTTTTTTTTTTTGTCCCCCGGGCTCCGCCCCTGGTGAACATAATACTAATTTTACTAGCATTTTGATCAATAGCTAGTAGAATGGTTTCTGTTTCCTGTCTCTTGTTAAGAAGTTAGTTTAACAAATCCTTCTCCCAAGTCAAAGCCAATGAATTACTTTATCCCCTCTTCCCCTGCAATTTCATATAATCTATAGTACTCTCTGTTCCTTGTACCATTCTAAGATCTCTGAACAGAAAAGGGTATTGGCTTCCCTAAACAAATCCGAGGTAGAGTTTTTCCAGGTACACAAGAGCAGACCTCTTTCGGATTGATGGTAAACCTGATAACTATTGTATCCTCTCTTCTTGTTTCTCACTTTTCTCCATTTTCTTTGTTATGCTTCTTTCCTTACTGTCAAACTGAGCTGCTACACCATTGTATTGCAATCCACTAACACAAATTTTAAACAGGATGTGGCTGCAGAGATTGAACAGATTAAGAAAGCTATGGGAGATGGAGTGGACGTGAGCTTTGACTGTGCAGGGTTTAATAAAACCATGACAACAGCTCTTGGGGCCACTTCTTCGGGCGGAAAAGTTTGCCTTGTGGGAATGGGTCATAGCATAATGACCGTACCCCTCACCCCGGCTGCTGTAAGGTACTTTTGATCACACTGTTTTACAACAGGGATGATTAGGAACGTGTTTGGCTAAGCTTAAAAAAGGTGAAATTATTTAAGAATGAAGTAATTAAAGACTTGCATTTAAAACAAAAAAAAAAGTTGGGTTTTTTGAACTAGAAGTCCCTTCTAATATTTATGTGAAAGATGTTTCCCAAAAAAAAAGTTTGTTTCAAGTACTTCTAGTTTTTCTTAGGCTTAGCTAAACATTCTCCAGAAACATCTCTGCCTCTCGTATGGTTTTCACTTGCTGGTTCTAGAAGATCGTACAGCCACTGTGACTGAGACAAAGATCGTTTCCCTCTATTTCCTTTACATTTTCACCTTTATCATCCTTTATTTTTTTTGAATGCGTATCCTAATTGATAATTTCAAATTATCATCAGAGAGATTGACGTGATAGGCATATTCCGATACAAGAACACGTGGCCTTTATGCATTGAGTTTCTAAGGAGCGGTAAGATAGACGTGAAGCCATTGATCACCCACAGGTATGGATTCTCTCAGAAGGAGGTTGAAGAAGCCTTTGAAACCAGTGCACATGGTGGTAAAACTATCAAGGTCATGTTTAATCTGTAGCCTTTGAAGAAGACATTGTTTATCTTTAAGCTTGAACAAATTATAGATGTTAAACCTTGAATATGTTTTGTGATTTGCTGATATGAATAATTAATCAAGACATTTTAAGTAGCTTTTTTATTAAATAAGTTTAAATATTACGTAATTTAACTTCTATTATTGTTCAAAATTCCATATCGTGCCCAATAAACCTCGAGGAGCCGAGTCCCTTTTTTTTTTTTTTTGGGTGAACTTACCCACGATTATGCTAGTTTTAAAACTAATTTGCAAAATGATCTTCAGTACTTGGACAGATTAAGTAATATTACATGATTAGGGGAAATGGAAAAATAAAGGAAAAAAGTACTCAAAACTGTCACTCTCTCATCTTCATTAACAAAGAATAAAATGATACAATATAGTTAAAGAAACCCAATTAGTCTCAAGAGGCTGTGGTTGTTTCAGCTGACCACTTCCATACTGTTACTTGACCAGATCCGTCGCCAGTGAAAAACAAACCACCAGGACCAATTTGTATGGAGCGAACCTCCTTTTTCGAAAAGATCTTTCCCCTCTCAGAAAATCTGGATGGAAATAAATAAAACAAAATTCATAAAACGATATAAGCAATCATAACAAACCAAAACAGTCAAGACATTAGCAATATAAGAATGGCAATAAACTCACGATGGCAAATCATAGGCTCGAACGGAGTTGTCATTGCATGAGCACAACAACACAGGTTTGGCTTCTGAATCATGCATCCCGAAGAGAGTGAGCAACCCCTGCAGCAACCTTGTGATATTAACATATTTTTCCATAATACAAATTAAGATATTAGTATTTGTATTCCTACTAAATCTTATTTTTTTAACTAGACAAAATGTTGTTATAATTTATCATTATTGTCATTATTATTAGTTAACTCCATTCAGATTAGAAGAGTAACTAACGAACTCATCATTAACTAGCTTACATGTTCTTCATTGTGGGTAAATGTAACTTCCAAGTTTCCATTCTCAGTTGCAGCCCAAACCTACACAAAAATCAGGAAATTAAGAAAAGTCTGGTTAAAAATGTCTGAAGTCTATAGAGAAAAACGAATTTTCCCTATAATTGAAAGAAACAAAAACCTTCACAGTTTTGTCCAGTGAAGCTGACAACAGGAACTGCTCCCAACACAAAAGAGACATTACAACGTCTATATGCTCTGTCAAAGTTTGTAGACACTGCAAAGTTTCAAGGCTCCATACCTGAAGGTATTGAGAAACATCAAACAAAAATAAGTAATGACAACAGCTGGAGATGGTCATGACATCTACGAAATCTTTTTAAAAAAGAAATCTGCAATGTATCGAGAAGGATTCATGTTTGAAGCAACCTACTTTTATAGAATGATCCATAGAACCAGAGTACACTCGATTAGCTCCAACAACTAACGTCACAACAGCAAGCGTGTGGCCCTTGAGTGATGCAGCAGGTTCAAAGCAGTTGGTGGCAACATTGAATTTCCAAGCCAGTATCGTCCCTTCCTGCAGTAGATAGAATGCTCAGACAAACATTAACACGTGATAATGTGTTTCTGAATATCATTTGTTTATGAAAGTACAGACACGCATCGGTGCATTTCAGCACTTCGAAATTCACAGCTCATCTTTAAAAAATCGTATAAAACAAAGAAACTAGAAAGTAGAAATTAGTATTTCTCTGAGTAAGCAACTGTGGTGTATTAAAAATCATAGTAACGGGGATAAACAAATTAGTGGTTACTAAACTTCAAGAGAAATTTTGCGTTGCTCACTGAACATTCTGTTCCAAGTCGGTCCATGAACTGAAACTTTATTTCAAGTTACAGACATGTAACACGAAAAAGCTTAGTTACCAACATGAAAGTCCAGTGACCACCTTTGTTTTTTACGCTCACTGCAATATCAAAGGTTGCAATTTATGAGTGCTAAGTAGGCTTTTCTGTTGTAAACATGCGCTGTAACTGTTTCATTCTGAAAACATTTTTAATTATTGTGTAACAAACTACTTGTAATATAGCCCCTATTTGAGCCACATTATTTTTTTTCATTCTCATTCTTCTACTCATTTTCAACCACACATTTTTCAATAAAATAATATTTTCCATCACATAAATAACTTTTCCTTCTTTTTCAACCACATATTCTCTATCACATCACCTCAGAAAAATACATTCTCTCATTTTAATGTGCATCAAACGGGCCCATAATATATGTGGAGAACAAAAGCAATAGAGTTCAGTTCACCGAGAAAGAAACCACAATACCTGGACACCAGCAAAGAGCAAATCATTGCCCACGACGAGGGAATAGACTTGTCCAACAGGTCCATTTAAACTGAGGTCCAAAGATGTTTGAATGTTCCATGCCTGCAATAGCAGCAGAAGTGACCAGTAACTGAAAAATGGGCATTTATGGAGGTGTAGCATTAAGCAAAGGAATATAAATGCATGGGTAAAAGAGAGAATGGTCCACATAGTTAAAGAATTGTGTGATGAAATAATGAGAAAAAGAATAGCAAAGAATATTTTGGCTCTGACCTTGACGAGATTTGTTAAACCAACAAATATCCATGGACCTTCACTTATCATGCATCCTATTGCACCTCCCAAATTCACCACACCCACCAACTGCCGGAAAACAAAAAAAAAAATTAACATTCTGGAAAGTCACTAATAAAACAAGCTAAAGGCAAAAAAATCAATGTCATATTTTATGTCGAAGTAAAGAATGTTTTCTGCAAATACTTTAAACTTGTTTTACTACTTACTTGTATTGGTATCTTTAATGCAAACCTTTACCATTTAAATATTCATTGGTCAAAACTCAAAAAAAAAAAAAAAAACCACGTTCTATCTTTTCTCCAACTTTTACTTGATAAATAAGACCAAGGTTTAAAAGGGCGAAACTAAGTATTGAGGCGGTTTTTCTTTATGAGGCAAGGCGTAAGCCCACAAAAAATAAAAAATCTAAGTAAAANAAAAAAAGCATTACAAAAGTTAGAAATCACTCCATTTGCAATGGAAAAAAAGAAGCAACTTAAACTAAAAAAAAAAAGTCTAATAGTCTGCATTATCATCACTATTACTAGCATCATTAATGAAATCATCATCATATCTAATTTCCCCATCATCTTCCTCTTCGCTACTCTCAATTTCTATAAAAGGCGGTAGTGAGGCGTGCGCCTCAAATTTAGAAGCGTGAGCCTCATATTTTTAGCCTCAAAATACCGCCTCGAGACATACTACATGCGTCTCACAGTGAGGCGCGCCTCACTACCGTCTTTTTAAACCATGAATAAGACTTTGTTTATTTCATACATAAGACCATAGGCATATGAGCATATATTAATTTGGTTTCAACCAAAATACTAGATTTTAGAGTAGTGGAGAACTCAAACCAATAAAATGCAATTTGAAAAATTTAATCTTCGAACATGTTATCTTTCACGAAATTATCTCCACTAGTATGTGATCAAGTGAATGCATGATGCAACCAAGGTGTTAGATAAAAGAAAACCATAGAAACTACCTGACCAGATTGGCAGTCCCAAATTCTAACAGTCTCGTCTTGACTCCCCGTGTAAAGCTTATCTGACCCCGAAGGCAAAGTAATCCCGGTAACAACCTGTTCTAGAAGTACTTGTTCTTAAAACAAAATTGAGATAGCAGAAAATCCAATCTTTGATAACAATTCAATAGAACGTGTAATGATAAACTTCTGGTTCCATCAAATTGTAACTTGTAGTTGTGCAACAAAAGAAATCCAAACAATAAACAACGAAAACCCCAAAAGTTCTCAACTCTGTCAAATTAAAAGGAAAATAGATCAATAATAGTTAACAATTTAATTTGAAGACCTTTAAATTGCCAACCTTAATATCCATAGAAAAATCAAGATAAAACCATGGCTACATTTAGCATAGCATGGTACTGGGCTCTGGAATTGATTTCTCAAAATATTAACATAGAACAAAACAGATTAAATCTTCAACAAAGTGAAATGACCCATTAACCTAACTAATGGAGAACCTAACCCAATTAAATCAAGAAAAATATGGTCAATTATCCTTTTCAGAAATTTTGATTAGCAATATCCCCAGTCAATCATAAATACAGATCAAGAACAAGAAATATCACAATCTTCACCTGCTGATGGCCTTCAAGTGGAGTCAAGAGCGAAAAGCAATCCCCCGTGGACCATTGATGCAAGTATTTACAATTATCCCCATATCTACAGTTCCCTTGTACCCAGTGATTACACAGTTTCTCGATCTTCTTAAAAGTCCTGCTACCAGCGCTACCACTACTACCAGGCAGCGATTGCACTCTTTCAGGCATGTTACTAAAATAATAATTCCCACTCCTCCTTATTCCACCACCCCTATTATCGTCCGCTCCAAACCCCTGGTGGGCCCGCTTCGACGTCCCATTGGCCACCGCCGGCAACTCATGGTGTAGAAAAAAACAAGGGTTTCTGTTGCACTTTCCTTGTCTCCAGTGATAGCATACCTTTTGCTGCTTCATACCGCCATTGTCGCTCGAGCCAGATGGACCCAGCCTATGAAACACTCGTCTTCCCCCATCCGTATCCATAATCAAACCAGCAAAAAAAAAAAAAGAACAATCTTCAAGGGTTTCGAAATTTAAGCGTAGTAATCTATTATTTCGGATGGTAGCGTATGAATTTCAGATATGATCATTTGAAGTAACTAAACTTCAAGATGAAGACTGAATAAGGGATGAAGAGGTTATGGGGTGTTAGGGTTTTGAGAGGATTGGATTATGAATTTGATTTTTGCAGAGCGAAAAGGTATTGAAAATTGAGGGAGGATCTATAACTTTTTCTTCTTATTATTTTTTTTTCTTCCTTCTCCTGTATATGTTCATGATTCATAGATAAAGAGCCCCATTTTTGTCCAAAAAAAAAAAACCATTTTTGAATAGTGTTTTGATGGTAAATGTGTGGTTAAAAAATAAGAAAAAATTTTAGGTTTACGTTTAATTTTTTTTTATTNGGGTTAAAAATTAAGAAAAAGTTTTAAATTTGTATACGCGTTGGGTTTGAGTTTTCACAGGTCCGGGAAAACTTTCCTTAATTCCTGTAGGATAATAACTAATAAGGTGCGTTGGATCAAATCTCAAACAAAAAAATAATTGGATTGAAAAAAGTAGATACAAAAACTAACGAGAGATGCTATATGTACATTTTTGGTGTATTGACACTCCTCTCACAATATGGGTGGGTCTCTCCATAAATAAAATAATCGCAAGACCCACCAAAACTATGTGAGAGGAGTGTAAAAATGAGTGTACATTCTTAACTAAGGAGAGATGCTACATGTACATTTTTGGTATATTGACACTCCTCTCACAATATGGGTGGGTCCCGTCATAAATAAAATAATCGCGAGACCCACTATGACTATATGAGAGGAATGTAAAACTGAGTGTACACTTATCATTTCTCAAAACTAAAATATGAATATTAGAGTTAGAGAAAAATCATCTCATCTTAGTGAGCTCCTTTTTAAATCTTATTTTTTTTTTTCAAACTCCTTTTTAATAATATAATTTTACATATAAACTCAAATTTATTTCTTATTTTTGAACTACACACCCTCCGAAAAATCACTACTAAATAATCTATTCTCCTAAAAAATGAGGTTCATACAAATCCTTACTGTCCCAGCATAAGCATTTTCAATGAAACGATGTGTTTTTTAAAAATTATCGTATATGCAAAATAGAATGTATTTAGACCCTCCAATGCAAGTTACATGGACTTCGTCAAGTTGAATAGTCATAATCCCATTTATATTTAGATGTTTCGTAAACATGCTCACTTGGCAAAAATCACTGTCCCATAAAAATGATCTTAACCTCTGTTTGACATTCATTAAAGTTATAATTCATTTTTCTTCCTTTTCTTATTAATTACGCAGTTTTCAATAAAATAATATTACACAAAATTTCAAAACTTTTTCTTCTTTTTTAACCACATATTTAAAACAATACATTATTCCAATCATTAAAATTCAAATAATGGAGATCAAAATGGGCTTATTTTCCTTTTTCATATGTTCCAAATTATAGTTATAATTAATATATTAGTTTCTTAGTATGCCTCTGTTTAATATGTTTTGTTATCACAAATATAAACTACTCCATTATTCACTTTTTGTTGGAAAAATTAATTTTTTTTATTAAAAAAATCATCTTTCGCGACATTTATTCATTTGTATTTAGAGTATAAAAAAGGTCCATTATCATCTATTGTCATCGTTTGCTTAAAGCATGAGTAAGAAAGTGAAAGATCATTCATATTCCCTCAATGTTTAATTACCTTGAATGTTGCATTGCATAATTTAATTCCCTTGAATATTGATCGTATTAATGTAATGATATCTTTTATATATATTAAAAGTGGTCATGTAACGGAATTTCTTGTTTTTAACGGAAAATTTAACGGAATTTGTTGTTTTAACGGATTATGTAACGGAATTTCTTGTTTTAAATAGGCAGTTGCACCTTCTTTCAATATTTTTATCATAACTTTGTATTCCGATGTCTGATTGAGAAGATTCAAAATGTGTTAGAAAGCTAACTCATCTGGCTACAACTTTGATTTAGACATCATTCTTCAATTCGACCACTTTCTATGCCAAAAATAAGTCTCAATATGAGATTAAAACATCGAAGCATAACTTTTCGTTTGGAAATTGATTTGTGACCATCTTTTACCTAAATTTGATTCCATGGACGTCTTCCTTTATCCAATTGACTCCGAACACTCTCAAAATTTCATCGTGAGGTTCGGCACAACTTTTAAGTATTTACATTTTAGTCCCCGAACTTTGGATCCCTTACAATTTAGCCATTTCTCCAAATTTGTCAACTTTTGCTTATTTTCTTCGATCTCACCAACTTACATCACAACATCAAAATCACACATCTAATTATTTATCAATTACATAAATATTACACCATTAATTATTTAATTAACCAAAAAAATTACATCTTTATTAATAACAAATTAATTCTTAAACAAAACTATTAAATATAAACCACGCAAACGTGCATTGCACGTTGCTTGCACCTAGTGTTAGAAAAAATGGTAATAAAATGTATTGTTTCAACTATATTAACTAAGCTTTTTTATTGTGTTTGAAAAAAGAAATATGGCTATCTTTATGAGATGGGATAAAATATATTATGCAAATTTAAACGTGATTTTTATTATTATTTTTAAAAAATTAAAAGTAACCTAGATGGCAATATATAGAATGCGTTGAGAAATTGTATATGTGGATTGAAAGCCTTTCCATATTCATTTTTCCGTCACATTATTATGATAAAGTCCTTATCAACTTTAATTAAAGAGGAATTTGTTACTATTTTATGTTTTACTTATATGGTATATTTTAAAAACAATTCATGATCGTGTTAGAAATGTTCTTATTCGAGACATTAGTTGGTGTTGACCTCGAAAAATGGCTCCGACATGTGGCCAACATAAAATGTCTCCAAGTCAGCTCTTCCCTGCACACATGGCAAATCGTTAAGTCACTTGTGGCCTTTCCCAGAAGGGTCAGGAGTGGCCGCAAGCACTCCGACGGTCAAGTCAGTTTAAAATTCAATCGGAAAGGAGTTCACCAGCGATGGAACACTCGCCAGGAAGTGGTTGACAAAAGCATGCGTCAAAAAGTGTTAATATCTAAGGGAAGAAGATACTTAATTTCACAATGCAGTGGTAGTTTTGAGTGTTGGATTCCCTTTTTTCTCAGGCATAAGGTAGGAGTATTTATACTAATGATGGAGAGAGGAAAGTCGTTGGATAACGAGACACGTGTTGCCAGATCTCCAAAGTTCGTCCCATCCTAGGTATCAATACATCCCTCTATAGGCTGGTGACATTGATTGTTTCTGACAAGAGCAGCTGATTTAACCGTTTGAGTCCTACCATGCGTCCCTTCAGTCAATGATTCGATTTTGGAAAGATCTTTGTACAAGAGATCTTTGACGAGACGAGGCGAGGCGAGGCGAGGCGGGTGAGGCGTTACAATGTTATAGAAACGGAGTGCGGGCATTTGTATTCGTGATATGTTGGCGGATGAGTCCGGTTCGTTCCCTGACGCCTATTCAGTTCGTCCTTCACGTAATCACTTCGGGGTGCACACTCAGATCGTCCTATGGGCAATCACCTCGGCGACGCGTGTTACGGTGGGGCAACCTCCGCTGACACGTGGCGCAACAATAGTCCCGCAAGTCCATGTATGAATAGTTATATAGTACAAGGACTTTTGCTTTTTGGACTTCCAACTAATCAATGAATCTCCTAAGAATATGCAAAAACCTGTTAATGATCTTCTGGTTTCATTACATCCACCCCAATCACTGTCTGAGTAAGCTCTAATCTGAAAATTTGATGATGCAGAAAATAAAATCCCTTGTCCAGGTGCTTTCTTGATATACTTCAATACCTTATATGCTGCCTGTAAGTGAATTTCAGCAGGCCTATCCATGAACTGAGTCAAAATATGAACTGCATAACAGATGTCTGGTCTAGTAAGAGTAAGATACATCAGTTTTCCCACGATTTGTCTATATCTGGTTGCATCTTCAATAACCTGATCTGAATGAGCCAATTTATGATTCACCTCGATTGGTATGTTGCTAGGCTTAGCTCCCAGTTGTCCAAACTCTTCCAGCATTTCTAATGCATATTTTCTCTGGGAAACAGAAATCCCAGACTGTGATCTTGCCAATTCAAGGCCAAGAAAGTATCTTAAAGTCCCTAAATCTTTGAGTTTGAAAAACACATTTAGCTGTACTTTCAGTTGCTCAATTATTGAATGATTATTGCTAGCAATGGCTATGTCATCGACGTAAACCAATAAAGCCACAAAATCTGCTCCTGATGATCTGGTGAATAGTGAATAATCTGATTTCGATTGCTTAAATCCGAGTTGTATCAAAGAATCTGTAAACTTTATATTCCATTGCCTCGATGCCTGTTTTAGACCATATAAGGATTTTTGGAGTTTGCACACTAATTTTCCAGATTCACACTTCTTCATTATGTTACCAGATTCACATCCCTTCTCCCCCTTAATCTGGTAACCTTGAGGAATTTCCATATACACATCCTCCTCCAAATTGCCATTAAGAAATGCATTATTTACGTCAAGTTGAGCTAAATGCCATCCATTAATTGCAGCAAGAGAAAGAAAAATTCTGACTGTTGTATGCTTAACGACCGGGCTAAAAGTTTCCTGGTAATCAAATCCTTCTCGTTGATTGAAACCTTTTGCAACAAGGCGAGCCTTGTGTCTTTCTAGAGACCCATCTGAATGATATTTGGTTTTATAAACCCATTTGCATCCAATAGCTTTGTGTCCAACAGGTAAAGTGGTAATGGTCCAAGTCTCATTGGCTTCTAAGGCGGCAAGTTCAGAATTCATGGCTTCAATCCAATGATCAAAACGCTTGGCTTGCTCAAAAGTCAGAGGATCAGTAAGTGAAGAAATGGATATAACTACTTGTTTGAAGGATGAACTTAGTTTATTGTATGAAATGTGATCTTGGATTGGATGAACAGTGACACTAGAGGAAGATGGAAATTGATCTTTGTTTTGAAGTGTAATGTGATAATCTTTGAGGTATGATGGGAGTTTGGATATTCTGGAACTTTTTCTAAGTGAAGGAACATAGGTAGATGCGTCTGAGGTTTGTATTTCAGTACAGTTTTCATTGCAAGAATTGATATTTGTGTCTGATGAATGCTGGTCAAATGAAGTGGGAAAAGAAGAATCTCGATTGGTATAATCAGTATTTGTATCAGGAATATAAGGGAAGACAAAGTTAGGAAGAGAAATTTCAGAATTTGACTTTGCCTTTTGAAAAGGAAAAGATGTTTCATGAAACTCGACATCTCTGGAAAAGAAAACAGATTTTGAATCAAGATCATACAGTTTATATCCTTTAATTGTGGAAGAATATCCAATGAATACACAAGATTTTGATCTAGGATCAAATTTTCTTCTATGATGAGCAAGATTTACAGCAAAGGCTAGACATCCAAATGATCTGAGGTGTGAGTACTGTGGTTTCTGTTTATATAGAAGTTCATAGGGTGTTGAGCCATTTAGTATATGAGTTGGTGTTCTATTGATCAAATATATGGCAGTAAGGACAGCATCTCCCCAGAACTTGATAGGCAACGAGGAATGAAAAAGTAAGGATCTAGCAATGTTGATGATGTGTTGATGTTTTCTTTCGACAACACCGTTTTGTTGAGGCGTGTAGGGACAAGATGTTTGATGTATGATTCCATGGGAATTATAAAAGGTAGGAAGAAAGAATTCCAAACCATTGTCTGATCTAATGATCTGAATTTTGGATTTAAACTGAGTATGAACAAAATTATGAAACAGAGGCAATATGTGTGATACATCAGATTTGTGTTTCATGAGGTATGTCCACACGCTTTTTGAGAAGTCATCAACAATGGTGACAAAATAATGGTTCCCAGAAATATCAGATTCAGAATAAGGACCCCACACATCAACATGTATAAGTTGAAATAATTCTGTAGTTTTATTGATATGAATTGGAAAAGGAAGCCTCTTTTGTTTAGCCCGAGGACATGTAGTACATATTGGAATTTCAGAATTTATTACATCAGGAATGAGAGAGGAAATTCTATGCATAGGTATATGTCCTAATCTATGGTGCCATATATCAATGGCCACCTTACAGACAAATTTACATTGAGATACTACAGAAATGTCTTGTATTTTTGAAGGAACTATGGAACTTGTATGAGGTTGATAGGACTGCTGTAGGTAGAAGAGTCCTCCTCTCATTTCAGCCAACCCAATCGTCGTCCATGAGGAAAGGGCCTGGATAAAACAATGATGATACAGAAAGATGAAACACAGTTGGGATTTGAGTGTTAGTTTGCTAACAGACATTAGATTGAATGTGAAAGAGGGCACAAGTAAAACATTGTGCAGACTTAGCAATGGATTAAGAATAACAGTCCCAACATGGCTAACTTGAACTTTGTTTCCATTAGGAAGATAGACAGATAAATTCGATACTGATACGTAAGAGTCAAACAAGTCTAGGGAACATATTATATGATCAGTGGCCCCTGTATCAACAATCCAAGGTATCTCACTGAATTTTGATGTGAAGAGTGTTTGGAGTTTATTTGTGTTTTTGTGAGAAAAGATAGAAGAGACATCACCTGCACAGTTGATTGAGGATGAAGAAGCATTAGCACTCCCAACGGTGTTCTGATCAGAGATGAGAGCCATGAGTCTCTGAACTTGATCCTTGGAAAAACTGAGACTCGATGCTTGAATCTCTTGAGTGTTATCTTGAGCAACATAAGTTTGATTGACAGTTCTTGAATTCTGATAAGGTTGCTTTGATCTGGTAAACTTGAAATCTGGTGGAAAGCCAATGATCTTATAACAACGTTCTTTGATGTGACCCAATTTTCCACAATGATAACATACTCTATCTTTGTCTGGATTCTGTCCTCTTTTGACAGCCATAGCAGCCGCCCCATTGAAATGTTGTGACTGAATCAGTAAACTTCTTTGATTCTCTTCCCTTAAAATCATATTATATACTTGATCTAGGGATGGAAAAGGCTTCATGATGATGATCTGCGATCTGATTGCCTGGTAGGACTCACTCAATCCGTTGAGAAACTTAAACACAAGATCTTTTTGAGCTTCTTCTGCAAACCTTTTAAAACAATTCTGATCGCATTGCCCACAAGAACAATGAGGTAATGGACGAAAACTTCTCAATTCTTCCCAAAGACCATTGAGCTCAGTAAAATATTCATCCACTGATTTGGTTCCCTGTGAGATGGAACAAATCAAGCTGTGTAAATGACAGATTCTCGAATCATCAGGTTGAGAAAATCTCTGATTTAACTTTTCCCAGATCTGATTTGCATCCTGAATGTAGAAGACTGTCGATGCAATAGACGGCGATAATGATCTTAAGAGCCACGCAACAAGAAGATTGTTGCAACGAGTCCATGAAAAAAATAGAGGACTGGAAGAATCAGGTTTAGTGATAGTACCATCAAGAAATCCTGATTTGTTTCGAATTGATACAGCCAGTAGAAAAGATCTTTTCCAAGAAGAAAAATTCGTTGATGTGAGTTCAGGGGATACTAATACAGAACTATGATTTTCTGAATGATGTAAAAAATAAGGAGATGCAGGATCCTCATTAGGATTATGTGATGTTACAGCCGCCATTGATAGAACTTCAAAATGCTAAAGGTTTGGCTCTGATACCATCTTATAAACTGAGAAGGAACTGATATGGATGAAAACCGTGTAAGATAAAATTGATGTAAAACTCAAAAATTATTATTTCATCTGAAGCCATGAGGCATATATATACAATTAACTAAGCTAGTAAGTTGTAAGTAACTAACTATATTCTAACTAACATGTAACTAACTAACTAGCTAACTAACTAACTAACTATACAAACAAATATTCAGCAATCATCCGGCTTCCAATCTGTCACAGATATAAAGTAATTTGATCAATTATATGTTGAAATTGGATTAAAAGAGATAAAAATTGGTTTAAGTGTAAAATCATGAAAATTTTGAAAAGTGACTTTAGTCAAATTCGACCAAATATTCATACTCAATTCGATAGTGAAATTATGAAAATTAATAGACTAACTTGTTTTACTTGTCGAATAAATCGTCATGGTGTATTTGGAACCTAAAAATCTATTCCGAATGAATGAGAAATTGTGGTCTAAAATTGAAGGAAAAAATCAAAATTTTAGCACTTAAGATCGTCGCTCGAGCGCAGCCCAACAACACCGATGAGCGACAGACTCTTTGCTTTTGGCTCGAGTGGTGCACAGGCAACAAGAGAGCGACAGAAAGAGCTACGATCCTTGGTAAATGTTGCTAAGTTTTGGAGCGTGACACTGCATTCACAACCCCTCTTCTTTTACAAATATGACTTTTTGAACATCATTTTCTTCATCGCAATCATATGTAATCATAGCGTAACATAAAAATAATATTTCTTTAGCGTAAATTGTGGATAAAAATCTGTTTTTCATTTCATTTGAAAGGAGTATGAAACTCATCATTTTGATTCGTTGTTCTTGTGTTTTGAAGTACTATAAACACAAAAAGTAGTTGTTATATATTGTGAGTTGATTACTATCATCCGTGACACCGTTACGGGGCAAAATTGACTTAAGGATAAATAATACAACTCTTGCCTCGACTTTGAATCAATTTTCTTTGTATTACTTTGTTTATTTTCGTTGGCATTTTAACTTTCATTTCTTTGGTGTTTATTATTCAATTCCTTGTTGTTACTTTATTCAATTTTTTGTAAGGTTAAAGTTCAACCTATTAAAAAAATTACTTAAATCCATTTTACAAACATTATAAGCAATTTATAGATAGTAGCCAAACAAGAGCAATTGAATGATCAACAATGCTTGATTTGTTTAATTTGTTAAGAAATGAAGGATTTATAATTCACTAACTTGATGGGTAGAAAAATATACGAGATCGAACTAGTCTTATTAGTGGATGGGATACATCAATCAATCATATAAATTGAGAACCAACTTGAAAATCGATTTTGTTACATGTAAAATTTGGGAAGTTAAGACTTGGTATCCATTCAATAAAAATCCAAATTTGATTAGAGCCTTTGATCATATCGTTCACTTTCTTGGTCAATATTAGGACAAGTTTTTTGGGTTAGTATCGTCCAAAACAAAATCCTATATATCGGGGTTCATACATATTCGAGAATGTCATTTTTTCATATTGCTTTTGTGGTATTGTAAAAATAACCATCCCAACAAAAAAAAAAAATTGTTCTTCTAACAAAAGTCCACGCGCTACATAAATAATTATGTATAAACTTTGGAGACTATTGTTACGCCTCGTCATCCAGACTTCTAGTGGAGACAATGATATAGTCCATGTGGGGGACATTGGGTGAGATTTGACAAAGACTCAATTGGTCAAAATAAGGAAGTTAAAGAAGAAGTCGATGCCATTTGTTCTGAAACTTCCTTTAGCCGAAGCCCTCGCTCTATCTGAAACTCTTTTTAGGTTGAAGCACTCGCTGTCTTTTAGTGGATTCGTATACAATTTCTAAGAGTGATTGATATAACGTTTATAATAATGAACGTCAGGTTTGTTAGTCTAGGGTATAAAGTGACTAACACATTGTCAATGTATTAAATGCGTAGTAGATCGAGTAATGTGAGGCTTTCAGCTTGGGAGATGAGGCCACGTGATTCCCACCCTATAGCAACCACTTTGACCAGAACTTTATAATCAAGCAACTCTTGTAACATTTGTTTCAATGCAACTCTTCACACTTAAAAATACATTCAGTTTCCTCTCTTGCTCATTCCCTATTATTTGCTCGAGTTTAATTTGTTCTTACTTTGGTTGAATTGTTTAAATGTTTACATACAATCATCTTTAACCGTATTGTCGGTACCTGAACAACTTTGTCTCACATTGTAAAATCACTACTCACGTCCATAAACACTTCCCTTCTCCATCCAAATTTCCGATTGAAACGTGTTGGAACTTGTTAGCTTGGACGTGATTGGGTTCAACATCTATTGTCCATGTAACCATTACAAAAAATGGGTCAACATCTTTCATCTTAGATTATTTCTTTTAGAATAGTTTCTTCGTAAGTATGGAGGATCACGAATTAACATTTTCACACGAAAGAGTACTCTTGACGTACTAAATATCACTTATTCTCCGATTTATTATTTTTATTTTTACTCACGCGTCTTAGCAATTATTGACAAATTACACCGTAATTTAAAGCATGTTTGAGTCTCATTTTTTTACGAAAATAAATTTTGGAATAATATTTTTATGCAGAATGTATGGTTAAAAAATGAGGAAAATTTTTGAGCTTATGTATAATATTATTTTATTGAAAAATGTGTGAAAAATAAGAGATACTTATGTTGAAAATAAGAAGTGCCAAAGAAGGGTTTAATTAATGAAATGCAGTGAGAAAAAAGTAGACATGTACACGTGGAATCAAGACAAATTCGTGACATTTTTTCTCAAGAAGCTTTTCTTCGAAAAGTCATGAACAGTCTCGGATTTCATTCCTCAAATCCTTAAAAAAATTTATAAAAAATGAAACCTTGCTTTTTCTTTTTTTATATTCAACAATGAAACCTTAAGACCTCGAATATAAATATAAATTATATAATTATGAAAAACGTTATACCCCCATAACATACCGGAATACTTGGAATTGGTTTAATTTTTTTTTTTTTTTGTTGAATTAGAAGACTTTGTTTGAGATATATGTTAAATACGAACAACAATTTTGTCCCAACTAAAATGAAGCGGGCCATCTCCTCCCGTTTATCGAGTGTCACCTAAAAGCTCGAAGTATTATATTTTTTTGATCGGTAAAAGTTTGAGGTATTTTTGAACTTATAGAAGGATACAATGGAAAACGTAAAATAGAAGGGAAATGAAAATAAAATATTTGATTTACAGCAACATGGCATTTACCATATTGACCATCGTTGGTTATTTTTTGACAAGTTCAGAAACAAATCGATAATGTTAAAACGGTGTCAAAAGCCATAAACTCCAAAATTTGGGGCTTAAAGTATATGAATTGAACTTTATGGGAGTTCTAGCAAATAAAACATTTGATTTCAAAAAGATGCAATGAAACAACATAAAGCCAACTGAGGGGGTATTGGAGTGCCCCACAGGAAGGCACAAACAGCATTTCTGATAAATGTCGTTTTAGGCGGACGAAAGTGTGAACAGTACTACGGGAAGTGGCTCTTTTATTTGTTAGCGATAAAACTCAAGTGGGGGCTGAGATTTTGGCAAACTGAGAAGGGATCAAAGTGCCCCACTTCAGCCTCTTTCAATGGGAGGAACTGAATAGCAGCTCCACAGTCCTAAGTCTCCATCTTCTGCTAAGTGCCGTGCTCCTATTCACATCTTCTCCGTCTTGTTCATCTTATACATACAGGCGAGAGTTGAAAAAAAGTGGTTCTTTGTACTTTTTTTGACAAATTCTGGATCTGGGATTGCTTCTTCGAGATATAATTTTGATGGGATTGCCTTGAATTTTGTTTCTTCGACATTTTTATGCGTTTCTAAATGTTGGGTTTGTGATATTTTAAAAATATATTGAACTTGAAGATTTCTTGGGGGTTTGAATCGCTTCTTCTGCTCGAGTTTGAAACTTTATGCCGCGGGTGGTGATTTTCTGTAGTGGTTCTTCTTTGTTATTTTGTATTCTGCGCTCAGCTTGAATTTTGTATGATTATATTCTTGATCCATGTAAGAATGATATTCTAGGGTTTTTGCTTGTGATATTTTGTCTCTTCTGTTGATCTCTTTTTAAATTTTTATTGTAGTTCAATAAAGAAAGTGGAAAGTTTGTTGTTTTTGAGTTTTAATTCTTTTACACTTGGTATTTTTTCAGATCCAGCTGACTTGGGAGAGGTTTTAAGATGTTGGAGCTTAGGTTTTGATCTTATGCTTTTCTGAGGTCAAACTGTTGAGTTACATGCCCGGTAAACCTCACATGGCGGTCATTTTTCAAACGTCACCAGCTTTAGGCAGAAGCTTCTTTTAATTTTTTTTTGACTATGACTGCTATTTTGTCATGTGAGCAACAATCAACTAATTTGACTTGAAAATTTTGCATTCTCACTTATTGGAAGGATTACATCTACGATCTAGACTAAAATTCAAGATTGGAAGAACCATAAAGTAGAGTTCTTGTCTGATTTCCCATTATTTCAAGGGTTGAACTTTTCGTATGGCTGTTGCCAATTGCAACAGCTATACCGAGCCATCATGTTATTCGCTCATTTGTTATAGGGTAGCAAGTTTGAGTGAAACTATTTTGGACGCGAGCCAGATTGCAAATTTAAATGATCAATATGTTCTTGGAAAACAGTTGGGGTGGGGGCAGTTTGGCATAATTAGGGAATGCATGGATAAGTTAACTGGGAAGGTTCTAGCGTGCAAATCTATTGCTAAAGATAGGTTAGTCACCCGAGAAGATGTGCACAGCATCAAGCTTGAGATTGAAATAATGACTAGGCTTTCTGGGCACCCTAACGTAGTTGATCTCAAGGCTGTTTATGAGGAGGAAGATTATGTGCATCTACTGATGGAACTTTGTGCTGGAGGTGAGCTGTTCAACCTGTTGGAAAAGCATGGGAGGTTCTCCGAGCCTGAGGCCCGTGTTCTTTTCAGGCACCTGATGCAAGTGGTGATGTACTGTCACGACAAGGGTGTTGTTCATAGAGATTTAAAGCCCGAAAACATCCTTCTAGCCACAAATTCTTCTTCTTCTCCAATTAAATTGGCAGATTTCGGACTTGCAACCTACATCAAGCCCGGTAGAGTCCCATGTTACTGTGATATTCCTTGTTATTTAAAATATAGGATGTTAATCATTGATGTTCTTAGCATATTTAGTTTTCCAAAACAGGACAAAGTTTGCACGGCACTGTTGGCAGTCCATTTTATATAGCTCCGGAGGTCCTGTCAGGAGGGTATGATCAAGCAGCTGATGTCTGGAGTGCTGGTGTGATACTTTACATTCTTCTGAGTGGGATACCGCCGTTCTGGGGGAAGACTAAGTCGCGAATTTTTGAGGCTGTTAGGGCTGCTGAATTGCGATTTCCATCTAATCCCTGGGATTTTATATCTTCCTCTGCGAAGGAATTGATTAAGGGAATGCTTTGTGTAGATGCTTCTAAAAGGCTAACAGCTCAACAGGTTGTGGGTAGGTCACGTTTTCTTTTTCATCCACATAGCAATTTGAAGTTTTGAATTTCAGTTTCCTATTTCAGCTTCTTATGGGCAGTAATCTCTGTTCATAACTGATGATTTGTATTGAAACCCAAGAAGATGCATGTTGATGTGAATCATTAGAGTGCAAAAAGAAGGATAAAACAAACATGCTGAAAAAAGCCACCTTGATAATATAAGTGATTCATCCTCAAATTTATTGGAAAATCATCTGAAAATTGTAGCAATGTTTCTAGGATCAACTGTCATGACTAATCAATTTGGTGAAGCAAATATGTGCATGCCATAGTGACGAAAAATAGTCATGAAATTCTCTGGTGAAAATCTATATCTATTGAAGCTGCAATTTTTTTCTTCCTAGTTCTCTTTGTTAAGTTGTAGAGTCTAATTTATACCAGTTTGTGGAGCTAGAATGCAGATTGGTTTTTACGATGAGGTCTTCGTGGGGGTTGGATTCGGGGGGTGCGGGGAGCGGAGCCTCTAGATCAAAATTTCATTGAGGTTTAGTTTAGGAAATCCGTCTTAGGAATTTGAGTCCTTGTAATTTTTGATTTTTTCCCCAATTTGTCTTGTAAATAGGGAGTTTTTATATATTTTTTAAATCACCATCGTAAAAGGGCAAAAGAGAGGTTAGATAATGTATGTGTGCAATTTTCTTTTATAAACTTCTTTTAATTATAGTGAAAGAGGACGTAGTTTCACATTGAGACTAATTTCTATAAATTTTGCGAATCTTTATTTCTTTCTATTTATTGATTGCTCTCGATGAAATAGAATTAAGGTTTCTATTTCTCAACACTCTTTTGGCGCGTAAAACAAATGGTCTTGAGGAATTCATCTCTATATTATAATTTGGATGACAACAGAATTCTGCTTTAGGGAACCATGCTTTGGATTCTTCTATATCCATTGCTGTTCAGTATTATCACATCATCCATTTATTGAATGTTCAATCTGGAATGTATTCACCAGATTTAACACATATGCACGTGGCTCTCATTAATGCTTTCTTAAATTGTAGTATTGAGATATAGATATAAGATGCTTCTCTAATTTAACGAAGTATACTCCTCTCTCCTACATAATGATGGCCACCTTTTACAGACCACTTATGGGTAAGGGAAGATGTGAAGTTTTCCAATGAACCTCATGAATGTAAGCAAAATTGTGGATTGGATACAGACAAAGGTTGTTTATCCCCCTTGTTAATGCATAGGAATCAGGATATCAGTTTTGGAACTGAGTCGCCTACTATGGGTGAAGTCCAGTCGCCTTCCTTCACATGCAGATCATCATTCTCTTCTTACCTGGTGGACCCATTGACACCTTCATTTGAACCCGGTGGATTTTCTTTCTGTAGTAGTGGCGGATCAAACACACTGGAATTTTCTACTCCCGTTGTTGCACTGCCAAGCTTTTCGTTCTTCAGCCCAGATAATGTGGTTGAACAAGGAAATGGTGCTTTGGCTCTTGACACGAACCCCTCCAGAGTCAACTTGGTTGAAAGAGGTAATGTAGTTTCAACTTGGTACGCAACTGTGAATGGACCTAGACAGTACAGGAACTGGATTTAAACTTCATTTTCTATCTTTAATATACCTGGACAGTATAAGGAACTAGATTTAAACTTCTTTTCCTTTCTTTAATACTATTGAGTGCAATTTAATCTTCCTTACCAAACATGCCCGCATAGCTCAAACTCGTGTTGATTCTTTCTTTTGCAGATTTGGATTTGGGGAAGTTGTTTACAACACCAGATTCTTCTCAATGCTTAGAGTGTGCAGCTGGTGTGATGGACAAAAAGGAAGTTGAGGTTAGAAAAAGCTGGTCTGGCAAGTCTAAGCCATCAGGTATCCGTAGCAGAAGAAACCGCACTATTGGCCTTGGTGAATTTGAGCAGCTTGATCTCATGGTGACTGAATCAGTTATTCGATGGGCCTCTTGCACCCTTCTATCAACGCCCACGTCACTTAGATCGTCTCTTGTCTGTTAAAAGATTGAACTCGCAATTCTATATGCTAGCAGCTTGACAAAATGGGCTAGTTGCCAACAAGTCTTTGCCATGTGTACAGAGTTTGATGTTTAGCTTGTTTTCCATCCCTTATTGTCCAATAGTTTCCTTTGTCAACACCAACTTTCATGTTTATTTTGGCATCGTGTGTCGTTAAATGACATGAATTTGCTTCTTATGTATCAAGAGCACGATTGACTATGCATGCATGTGTGGTTGAAATTTAAAGTAATTTTATTAGTTTGTGTGTAGATTGTTTTATTGGGTGAATGTGTGGTGTAGATTAAGGGTGTCTCCCATTATTGAGAGAAAAATATGGTAATAAATAGTATTTTTTGGAGAATGTGTGGTTGAAAATTAAAGTAACTTTATTGGTTTGTGTGTAGAATATTTTATTGGGTGAATGTGTGGTGAAGAATCTTACTGTAGCAAACAATTTTTTGGAATAATTGTAGACAAACAGGAGCGTAGATTCATTCGTTTCCTCTTTCTATTTGTCTTTTGAATTTTTGGGCCTGTATGTCATCGAAAACGGAATTCTTTTTAATATATGGTTTAAGAGGTGTGTTGTCAACCACGCTGGTTCATTGGTTCCATCATTGTGCAACACCCCTCTGAAACCATACTTGAGACCTTTACATGCATCACATTAAACCATCTCGGCTACTGTTATCTGCTACTATGATGAACCACTTCCTTTTAACAACATTAAATTTCCAATAGAACTTTTTGATTAAAAAACAAACAAAATTGGTTTTGATTTGGGGGAAAAAAAAAAAATAATAATAATAATAAACCAAAAAGGATATGGTAGACTTCGGAGAGGTAATGATAAGGTTCTAATTCATGGACACAAATATAGGTGGTCAGACAATTCATGGTGCCTACAAAACACTCCATTTTCACTTCCTTGCAATAAAATCTCTTCCAAAATCTTTTCACAAACACATTTTCTTTCTTCTAAATTAATGGGGTACCAGATTCAGTGTTTAAATCCTCAACTTTCTTACAGACTACTCGATCTCAGAACCAGCAGAATATCCCTTCTCTCTTCTTACAATAATGTGAACGTAGAACAAAAACAGCAGCCCTGTTCTACCACAAGATTAACTGAAACAAAAGTACCTAAATCGGATGCATACAGTGTTAAATTCAAAACTCTAGGAGGCTGCAAACTTGGTATTTCGAGATATCCTGATTTTGAGTACGATGCAGAAGGGGGAACAGGAACGGGGACAGGTACAAAAACCACGAAAGATGAAATTTCTGTTGAATTTGACATAAAAACGTTGTATATTCCGCCATTGTCGACTGCCACTACTAAATTCTTGGGACTGCCCTTGCCGCCATTTCTGAGAATTGATATTGTTCCGGAGCTCTTCCAAGGAAGCATCAATCAAGAATCTGGCCTGGTACATCATACAACTCTTATTGTTTATGGTTTCTTAAATATTTAACCAAAGTACGCTTGACAAGTTAAATTTTTTAATATAACTTGTTATTTTAAGGCTTAAGTTGGTTTCTGAAAAAAAGTAACTTCTGAGCATAGTTAGACATGCTTTTATTATTATACGATAGAACCTTATCCTTATTGGGTTGCCACCTTTGATGGTGGAGACTTCTTGCTCAGTCATAAGTTACTTCTTGTGCTGTTTTGCTAGGTTGATCTCAAGTTCAAGGCCAAATTCCTGTTTTCCATAGGGAGTATCTACAAAGCTCCACCGTTGATGGTGGAGACAGTTTTAACTTCAGAAGAATCAGATGGAAAGATCAGAAGAGGAAGAGGGGAGAAATTGAATAAAGAAGGGAGGTGCAGTCTAGTTGGGGTCGCAACAGTTGAACCTATTAATGACTTTTTCATGGATTCATTCCTTAGCCTTCCTACTGAATGCCTTGCCAATTTGAATGCTACAATCTCATTTTCAAGTGCTACTCTAGTTTGATATGTCATATTTGACACCACTAGATTGAACTCGACAAGATAGTAAGCAAGATTTTAGCCATTTTCTTTTTTGTTTTCAATACTGTATATATACAAGTCATGTTGTGAACTTTGTTTCCTTGTATTTCGATGAGCATTTAAACGATCTCAATTTGTGGTCACATTACCATTTCTTGGAGTGACATGGCAAGAAATATAGTTGATTTTAAAGAATGACATATTGAAGAAGTTAACATGTCCACGAAAATGCGCTGAAAGAAAATAAGAACGATAAAGCCCCCGTTTCAAGCGTGCCATGAAAATTAGAATATAAATAAATTAGAGTTAATATATCATGATCTTTATCTTAGAATTTTAATATATCAATTTACTAATTATAATTTCTATAATTGGAGTAACTAATGTTTAATTAAGAGTAATGTTTATTTATCATAATCATAATAAAATATCGATGATATGGTAACTTATTATCTCTGTCATTTCTCACTCTCTCCTCCTATCCTCTATGATGTTTCATCATCATAATAATAAGGCTTTGTTTGATATACATTATTTTTTTTATTCTCATTATTTTACTTATTTTCAACCACACATTCTTCAATAAAATAATATTTTCCATCACATCAATAATTTTTTCTTCATTTTTAACTACACATTCTCCATCAATCTATTATTCAATAATACATTTTTTCTAAAGAATGTGTCCCAAACACACTCTAAATAGCATTATTATTTAATTAAATAAAAATATCAATGTCATCATTAAGTTTAAAAAAAAAAAAAAAATTTCCACGTGTCCAAAAACTACTGGTGAAAGAATCAAGACCACAACTGTGTTAGTGGTGGTCACGAGATTTCTGGTTGGTGGTCTCCAGATACGCTCTACTGCGTAGCCTCCTCTCCAGTTTCATTTCCTTCAATTCCCTGCAATTACAGCTTTTAAACTAGAATCACGGTATTATGCGATCGATTTCACTCATTTTTAACTCTCAAAATTTATTTTTTGAAAACATTAAAGTATGTACTTATAAGTAATTTTCAAGCTTAGCCCAAAAGTCAAACATTACGTGAAACAAAACTGGGCATGATTTATGACCTCGAACTCGAATCATGTCTAAAAACGGCATGTCTACAACCTCTAATCATTGTCTAAAAGGAAAATATATGATTGTGTGTGGATTTAAATTGATATAGAAATCAAAATTGAGACTTCCATGTCAGATTGACTGCTATACCATATTTTTGGTAAATTGATGTTTCATCAACTTCACCCAAAATATATTAATCCCTTGTTTCATAGAAATTGAAATCTATATTTTAATATAAATCAAAATCAACTATTAATTTTAATTACATATTTTATGGTGTTCATAACTTTTCAACTACACATTTCATTATTTTTTTATCAAAATCTACTAAAAATCTAATTTGAATATCTACCAAACATGGGCTATATTGATTGGAGCTGCATGAAAATTCGTGAAGCTGCAGATCAAACCAAAACCGTTGGTTTGAAACTGTCAATTCAAGTAGATTCATGATTTTTCCCTCAAACCGAAAAAAATCGTTTCAAAATTGTTTGATTTCGGTTTCGATTTTCAAAAATCGCCAAAACAAAACCAAATCAATTTTTTTTAAATTAATTTTATTAAATTATAAATTTTACATTTTTCGCTTTTCAGAAAATAAATATTAATTTAATAATACAAATTACAACCAGCAGTTGAAATAATCATATAAAATAAATTAGGTTCATCATTACTGGCCCATGATTTTACAAGTGTACTGACCTGAAATCTAAGCTAAACTAAACTAAAATTATTTCCGAATCATATGAAATGAAAAAAAAAAAAACTTATATTATCGGCAATCCAAATCATACTTCAATAAAACTATGACAACAAATCACACTCAAAGTTTTAGAACTCTCATTTTTCAAATATTTGATGATTGTCCACCATTATTAAACGAAATGAGATTCCCAATCGCTGTTGCCTTTTGCATGTGAGTCTCGGATTCTTATTCAAGTCATTTTCTCCATTGTTCTTTCTTTTTTCTTTCAAGTGTTCATTCCGTTTTCACTACTTGTACACTCTTTATTAATTGTTCATTATTTTCTTTACTTCAGGTTAGATTCATTACTTTTTTTGTTTCCATTTGTTGAAATATTTGTTGTTTTTGAATTTATTATACATTCATGAGTTGTGAATTAGACGAAAAAAATGACTATTTTGTGCCTAGGTGATTAATAAATTTATTTGTAGTTTGGAAAGAACGAAGGACAAAATGTATTAACTATGCAAAAATTCCATAACTAGTTCTACTAACTTCTACTCTCTTAAGAGTAGTTAGAGAATGAAATTCATCAATGTCGAATAAGTTCAAACTCTGTCAATCTTTGTACATCTAAATATGTCATGTTCAATCCTTATTTTCCATCTTACTATCAAGATGAAAAGAATCTTAACCGGACTATAGCAGCAAAATGTTGCTCTGCCTATGCTAACTGTTTTGTAACAATATGAAAAGCAAATGAGAAAAAAAGAAAAAAAAGATATATTCGTTCTATTAATATCTTTTCGCAACCAAACATATATGTTGTCTTTTTTTAAATATATTACTATAATGTCAATAGGTACATCATTGATTAAACCCTAACCAAACTGCAAATGATGGTTTGGTTTGAAAAAATTTCAAATTGCATAAAATGATTTGAGTTGAAAATATAATACAACAGGCCAACTCAAACTGCGTCTACCCTTAATATTGATTATTTAAATATTCATTCTAACAATAATATGATAAAATTTTCAAGTGATAATATTTTTTACTTTTTAAAATAACATATTTAAGTAAATTACATACATTTAAATTTAAATGTTTAGTTATACTTAAAAGTAAGTCAAATTTCATTTTACAAAACATGGTTCTCAAAATACTTTCCTCAAAAAAAAGGTTTTAAATTTTCCGTAAAAAATAATTTTTAAGTACAATTAAATATGCTGGAAAGCTAAAAATATATAACTTTTAGCCCATGTTAGAAAGTTATTCTTTGAAAATCATTTTTTCTGTTCACACTCAATTTCAATATGACATTCTCAAAAAATTCATTTATCACATTTTCTTAACTTTTTTTCTACTTTTTAATCATAATTCTCTGAAAAATTATTTGTCGTGTGTTAGATAGATATTATTGAAGAAAGAATGTATTTTAGATAGTAATATGATGTAAAATATGTGACTGAAAAGTAAGAAAAAATTATTGATGTGATGAAAAATATTATTTTATTGAAAAATATGTGATTGAAAATGAGTTTTGAAAAAATGTGTACCAAAGAGGAACTTAGTAACTTTCACACAAGCACTCAAAAGTTTGTGTTTTAAAACATATTATTATTTAGATAATTTAATTTTAAGTGTAATGTTTAATTTTGAACAATAAAAAAGGGGATTTAAAGATGTAATTATTTACCTATAAGTTACCCTTTAAGTTTATCCAAACATGGCCTTACTGTTTCATTAATTCATTTATATCTAAGCCCCTGTTTGTTCGACATTATTTTTACATATAAATGAGTTTTTTTGACCCCTTTTTTAAAAAAATTTATGGGTCCCACCATGAAAGAGATTGGTAAAAAGTGGTGACTAAATACCTCCCCAACAATCACGTTTTTCTTTAAACTACGTGCAAGCAACGTGCAATGCACGTTTGTTTAGTTTATATTTAATATTTTTGTTTAATAATTAATTTGTTATTAATAAAGATGTAATTTTTTTTGGTTAATTAAGGGCGTGTCTGGGCGCGCTGCAAGGAGGAAGGAAAATTGATTATGTTACCGTTTTTTTTTCAAACCTACTATTAAAAAAATGGCTGGCCCCCCCCTTGTGAGGGGGGGGGGGGCGTGGGGTCGGGTACACGGGCATGTACCCATAGCACGGTTCTAAATCAAAATCAACGATTAATTTTAATTACATATTTTATGGTGTTCATAACTTTTCAACTACACATTTTATTATTTTTTTATCAAAATCTACTAAAAATCTAATTTGAATCTCTACCAAACATGGGCTATATTGATTGGAGCTGCATGAAAATTCGTGAAGCTGCAGATCGAACCAAAACCGTTGGTTTGAAACTGTCAATTCAAGTAGATTCACGATTTTTCCCTCAAACCGAAAAAAATCGTTTCAAAATTGTTTGATTTCGGTTTCGATTTTCAAAAATCACCAAAACAAAACCAAATCAATTTTTATTTTTTTAAAATTAATTTTATTAAATTAGAAATTTTACATTTTTCGCTTTTCAGAATATAAATATTAATTTAATATACAAATTACAACCACCCATTGAAATAATCATATAAAGTAAACTAGTTTCATCATAATTGGCCCATGATTTTACAAGTGTACTGACTTGAAATCTAAGCTAAACTAAACTAAAATTATTCCCGGATCATATGAAATGAACAAAAAAAAAACTTATATTTTCGACAATTCAAATCATAATTCAATAAAACTATAGCAGCAAATCACACCCAAAGTTTTAGAACTCTCATTTTTCAAACATTTGATGACTGTCCACCACTATTAAACGAAATGAGATTCCCAATCGCTGTTGCCTTTTACACGTGAGTCTCAAATTCTTATTCAAGTCATTTTCTCCATTGTTCTTTCTTTTTTCTTCTAAGTGTTCATTCCGTTTTCACTACTTGTACATTCTTTATTAATTGTTCATTATTTTCTTTACTTTAGGTTAGATTCATTACTTTTTTTGTTTCCATTTGTTGAAATTTTTGTTGTTTTTAAACTTATTATACGTTCATGAGTTGTGAATTAGATTAAAAAATGATATTTTGTGCCTAGGTGATTAATAAATTTATTTGTAGTTTGGAAAGAACGAAGGACAAAATGTATTGACTATGCAAAAATATTAAAATTTCATAACTAGTACTACTAACTTCTACTTTCTTAGAGTAGTTAGAGAATGAAATTCATCAATTATGAATAAGTTCAAACTCTGTCAATCTTTGTACATCTAAACATATCATGTTCAATCCTTATTTTCCATCTTACTATCAAGATGAAAAGAGTCTTAACCAGACTATAGCAGCAAAATGTTACTCTGCCTCTGCTAACTGTTTTGTAACAATATGAAAAGCAAATGAGAAAAAAAGATATATTCGTTCTATTAGTATCTTTTCGCAACCAAACATATATGATGTCTTATTTTAAATATATTACTATAATATCAATAGGTACATCATTGATTAAACCCTAACCAAACTGCAAATGATGGTTTGGTTTGAAAAAATTTCAAATTGCATAAAATGATTTGAGTTGAAAATATAATACAACTGGCCAAATCAAACTGCGTCCACCCTTAATATTGATTATTTAAATATTCATTCTGACAATAATATGATAAAATTTTCAAGTGATAATAATTTGTACGTTTTAAAATAACATATTTAAGTAGATTACATACATTTAAATTTAAATGTTTAGTTTATACTTAAAAGTGAGTCCAATTTCATTTTAAATTTTATTTTACAAAACATGGTTCTCAAAATACTTTCCCAAAAAAAAGGTTTTAAATTTGCCGTAAAATATAATTTTTAAGTACAATTTTGCAGGAATGCTAGAAATAAATAACTTTTAGCCCATGTTAGAAAGTTATTATTTGAAAATCATTTTTTCTCTCACTTTCAATATGACATTCTCAAAAAAATATATTTATCACATTTTCTTAACTTTTTTCTACTCTTTAGGGTGTGTTTGGTACCCATTAAAATTTTCATTTTCATTCTTTTACTCATTTTCAACCACACATTCTTCATTAAAATAATATTTTCCATCACATCAATAAGTTCTCCTTATTTTTCAACCACACATTCTCCATCAATCTACTATTCCAAAATACATTCTTCCAAAATAATATCCATCAAACACACCCTTAATCATAATTCTCTGAAAAATTATTTGTCGTGTGTTAGATATGTATTATTGAAGAAATAATGTATTTTAAATAGTGATATGATGTAAAATATGTGGTTAAAAAGTAAGAAAAAATTGTAATTGTGATGAAAAATATTATTTTATTGAACAATATGTGATTGAAAATGAGTTTCGAAAAAATGTGTACCAAAGAGGGGCTTAGTAACTTTCACACAAGCACTCAAAAGTTTGTGTTTTAAAACATATTATTATTTAGATAATATAATTTGAAGTGTTGTTTAATTTTGAACAATAAAAAAAAAAAAAACAGATTTAAAAGTTTACTTATTTACTTTTAAGTTCCTTTAAGTTTAGCCAAACATGGTCTCAGTGATTCATTAGTTCATTTTATATCGGAGAAAACTGGAGTGGAAGGCACCGGAGAGGAATCTGTCCTCAACCCCACCTCAAAGAACCTTTCCAGTCCACGCCTCCGCACAGTAATTTTTCTTTTCATTCTTTTTTTTCCTTCTATTTTTTGCATTCACGTTCGCCATTGACGCACCTTGCGACACAGTTTATACCCAAAAACCCCACAAAAGTCAACATTAATCCTCACGTTTATGACGTCTGGAGTAAGATTTATCATTTTTATTGGAAATTGATCAATCAAAGACGATTCCCTGTGCTTTGTAGAAAAACAAAGGAGATCTTTTAGAACCTTTTCTCCCTTTTGACTTTTGCTTCTTTCTTGTTCGCGAATCTGATGGCACAATGTCGCTTCGGTCTTTTCTTGTTGGCATTTTTCTGTTTTTTGGGAGTCCTCAACGCGAGCCCAGGTGACGCTGATCCGATTTACAAGTAAGATTCATAAGATTTTGGAGAATTAGACTGAAAAATTGGATTTTAGTATCCCACTATTTTTTAAAAGTTAATGTTTTGTTAATTTGGCTACTGAGGTTAGAGTAGATATAATATGAACTTATATTAATTCCTCAAGGAAATTGTTATTGGATCTTCTTTTTGAAATTAATTGTAAGGGAAAACATTTTTGATTGGATTACAATTAATCAATTGTTACATTAAGCTATAATCATATAGGAAAGTCCGTCTGGCGAAGACAATCACACGGCAAACTATTTCATGTTTATAATTTGTAATTTGGGGTTTTAGGAAGTAATGATTCATCTTTTAAGTTTGATGTGGCTGTTCTTTGCCATTGATACCCCAACTTCTATGGTTGCTTCTTAGAAGAAATTATTTATCTTTCAGTTACGAATGTTTGTTTAGGAAGGACTGATAGAATTACTAAATTCAGCTCAATTAAACTTTTCCTCATGCTTGAGAACCTAAAGAGAATGGTCCCGATTATAGGGGATTTGTTTTAGGAAAACATCAGAACAATGTATTCCACTCTGCTGCCTCATATGTGAATGGTCCCGATTTTGTTTTTTACCGTGAACTGTACACGTGGACGATAACTGACTCCTATCAGCATGATTTGGGTTTTTGTTGCTTACAAAATTATTAATATTGATTGGATAACAATTCCAAGGAATTCGGCAGTGAGAATATGAGCAAGCTGGAGAAGTTGTCTCACAAAAAGCTCTGTAGAACTTACAGAGCAGCAGCCCAAATGAGAAAAAATTAACAGATTGCTTGAACGAGTTCAATAGCTTTCTGTTCTAGTATAGCAAGTTCATTTCAAGGTTAGAATTAGACAAAAGCCATTTTAGTTCTCATCGCGTTTCCAAATTCTTAAAGAGTCTAGCAACAACCTTGATGTACAAAGAAAACTCACTAAACTTAGAGCACAGGAAGGGATATCTCTTTTTTAATGAGGAAAAGAAGGCAAATTAGAATAAGAAAATACTTTGCAATGATTGCTCAATCTATGAATCTAAACAATAAAGCCTTCGATACGACTTACATGAGGCTGGTAAGCCACTTCCAAAGGTGAGAGAAAGCGACGATAACTGCTGGCTTTCTATTTTTATATCTAACGAAGAATGATGACTCAAATCATTCCTTAGGTCTGTAACAAGTTCCATGAACTTGGTTGTGTAGAAGTATTGCTTTCCTTATTTTAAAATGGGTTATGATGATTACATGATGGGGACACTGAAATATAACACAGATATATAGTCTCACACTGTACAAGTATGGTTAGAAATTAGATTTCATTTGTGTTTCAAATGTTAGCTTAACAAGAGAGTATTTTAATTTATCCCAAGTAACTGGTTTTATTCCAAGATCATGGGTATTGCCATTTGGAGTTGTGAAAATCATAATGTTGACCGAGCGGATTTTGTTCTTTGGGTTGTTTGACATATGTTCTAAAGTTGCTATGGATCAGAAACCAGTTTGAATTAAGGGCAATGATTTAGGTGTAGGTTGTGTCCTCGAAATCATACACCGTAGCACAATCTTGATGTAGGAGAGAAGTTTGTTGTAGTATAATTCAGCTACAATCGTCGTGGGCCGCAAAAAATTATCGATTGATGTGATTGACATCCCTTCTTGAATCAACTTGTAATCCCAACTCAATTAAACATGAGCATTGGTTGGGTTTAATCATGTAGTGGATGAACTTTCCAAGTTGGGGATTTCTCAGGTAGGTGGATTGTGGTGCCGAAGGTTGGCTACCAAGTCTGACAGACTTCTTCTTTATGCTGCTCAATATTCATTTGTAACATATATAAGCGGTATCTAAAATGGGAGGCGAGAGTGTAATACAGGGGAACATGGGGATCGAAAGCTTTTATTGTGAGTTTTGGGTACTAATAAGAGGTCTTTGGACTAACCCTTAAGGATCTAATTCAAGCGTGTAATTTCTTAATTCAAACACCTTGTGGTTGCAGGCATTCAGGTTGTCAAACCATATCAAATTTATTTGGGCTTGCTTTTCCTATACATTTGGCGTACAGAATTTGATATTTTCTCTGAGAAGAGAGAGGTCATACGACTGCAGAATGGAACAATTAGGAATTTTGGTTGAGATATCTTTATCATCATTACCACTTGCACTAAAAAAATTGAAATCCCAGGAGCTTCTATAATAAGCTAACTATTTTGGCAAGCTTTCAGCTGCATGTGCACGAGTGTGAGAAATAGTAATTTATACCAAAAATTTAGTTTTTCATTCCTTCATATAATTGGAGAATTCAGATGAGGTGGTCATTCTAAGAGTTTGGTTGGCAGATGAACTTCACCCACAGTTTATGGTACCTTGTTCTCACTCTTTCACATGCTTGAATTGGCTTAATTCCGAAATAGTCAATGACTGACTTTGAGCCGCATTCTTTGCTTATGTTAGTTGGCTTCTGGTAGCAGTTTAATTTTGATGTGGCTCATTGATCCTTTTGATTTCAATACTGGCACTGCTAGGACTTGTGTTGAGCAATGTGAGAAGACTGGATGCGTGGGGAACGAATGCTTTCAACACTGCAATTTTTCCTCTGATGGAAACCCCATTGATGGCCCATGGTATCTCCAGGAGCCACTTTATATGCGGTGGAAACAATGGGACTGCCGCAGTGACTGTCGATATGAATGTATGCTTTCTAGGGAAGAGGAAAGGCAGAAACTTGGCTACAAGCCTACCAAGTATCATGGGAGGTGGCCATTCCGACGTATCTATGGAATCCAGGTAAGCAAAACACTGATTGCCCTACATTATGGAAGGTTAATTGATATTCATTTGCTTTATATTTTAGTAATTGGCCTTAATATGTTTGATTCATCAGGAACCCGTTTCTGTGGCTCTCTCTGCCCTTAATCTCGCTGTACAATTCCATGGATGGGTATCCTTTTTCATCCTTGTAAACTACAAGCTGCCATTTAGGCCAAATAAGACCACATTCTATGAATACACTGGCATGTGGCATTTATATGCAATCTTCGCAATGAATACCTGGTTCTGGAGTGCTGTCTTCCACAGTCGGTGAGCACGAATTTTTCTTCCTCCCTTTCCTCATTTATCATATATTACAGGCATCATAAACTGTGGCATTTTTCTTCCACAGTTTTTGAATTTCTCCCCGTACATGATTTTATCATTTCATATGATGACATGTCAATAAAATGTTATTAAGGGATTTCTATAATGCTGATATGTTTCTTTGAGAAAAATTCATTGAATCTCATTGGGAATATTTGATTTCTCAACACTTTCGTTTACATCTTTAGCAATTCTTTATTCATATGGCTATGCTTCCTTAGCATATAATAAATAAGAAAATATTAGATACACATACTTGACTTTATTCAAGTTTCCTAAGTGACTGAAACTGGTATCTTGATGCATTTAGGAGATCATATGTAATGTAGCCTCTTGATATGCGCGTGTGACCTTGTTTATCTGCTGCTTTTCTTGATATCTTGGAATCATATGCAGAGACGTAGAATTGACGGAGAAGCTTGATTACTCATCTGCCGTGGCATTGCTTGGATATTCGCTCATTTTAGCTACAATTAGAGCTTTCAATGTGAGGTTGGAGGCTGCAAGGGTAATGGTTGCGGCTCCCATAATTGCGTTTACGACAACCCATATCCTGTATTTGAATTTTTATCAATTCGACTATGGTAAGCCCACTCTCAATGCAGTTTCTTCGAAATACCCATTCTTGCATTGCTACTGAAAACTAGCAGTAGAACCATATGCTTAGAAAACGACCACTCTTTTTCATTAAAACAACACTTTTCATGATCATTGAAGATAAGAGAAATCAGCAGGAGGGGAGAAACAAGATATCGGATATGTGCTATACCCTATAGCATTTTGATTAGTGTCTAGCATATATTCTGTTTGTTGATCGAGAAAATTATGGTACTCCATCCTTTGTATGCCATTATGACTGAGTTCTATCAGTGGCCCAGTTGTCAAGCACCACCATCAGGAATGATTTTCATTGGAAAGTGAAATATTTTGACATGTATCTTTTTCATCCAAAGAGATGTTTATAGCCAAACAAATGTTGGAGCAAAATGGCATAGACTATAGAATCAACTGTAAGGACCAAGGAGAGACTTGGATAAATGTGAAGAAAGTATTGATCCTTTACGTGAGTGATCCTGAATTCTGAGTAATGTATCAGGTACCAACCTATGAGTCACCAGTAAATATTTGCTAGGAAGTGCTTCAGTTATCTCGTATTTCTGAGAGCATTTGAGGATCAGCAAACATGCGATATTCTTGATGATTTAGAACAAAAAGAGTGAGGATTTGCTCAGTGCAGGGACTGAGAACTGGTTCTTTTTGTGTTCTGTTATCTTCTTTTATAATTATGTCTTGCATACATGCGCATATGTGTAACAATTGAGAAAGGCGAAGAAAATTTTGCTTCTTAGTCTTAGAATCCAAGTTGAATAATGAAGCGAAGAACCTGACATTATATCATGACACATTTCAGGCTTGAACATGATAGTCTGTACAGTAATAGGTGCATTGCAGCTTATCCTGTGGGCAGTCTGGGCTGGTGTTACTCGACATCCATCCCGTTTGAAACTGTGGGTCGTGGTTTTTGGAGGAGCCGCTTCCATGCTCTTAGATATATATGACTTTCCTCCATTCTGGGGGCTTGTTGATGCTCATGCTCTTTCCCTTGCAACCACGATACCTCTCACTTATCTATGGTGGAGTTTTGCCCGGGATGATAGTGAATTCAGAACATCAATGCTCATCAAGAAGACAAACTAATGTCTCATTCTCTAGCTGAAGAATGTGATTGTATCGACTTATTTGTTGGTTTATCTTGTATTTTGTCTACTTTTTTCTCGCGCTGATGCATTTCTTTGAAATGCTTATCGATGCGGGTTTCTTTGTTTCTAGTCTGAGTAGGTTTAGATTGGACACTTGCTTGTTTCCATTTTCATTATTGGTTATGTTTTTGACATAAAATATAAAAAGTACCCGTAATAGCAAATATTTTGATTTGGGGGGGCAATCTTTATAATTTTCAAAGCTTGGCCTGTTTTCTTACATATGGCTTATGATTTTTTTTTTTCTCGATAATCCTGTCCCCTTTCTAAGCATGTATGTAGACAACAATTTGTTGTTCCATCTGGTGGTGTTCAATATGAGAGATCGGTTTCATGTTTTCTTATTCGTTATAAGATTCCAACTGGGAGACAACAATTAAGACAATTTCTTTGAACACTAGAGGACACTAAACACTTTAATTTCACGTTTTAGTTGAAATTTTCTTAAACAATAAGCACACTACCAACTTTTTAGGTCCATCTTTAACCTTGAGGGGTTGCTCATGTAGCGAATGAGAGTTTTAAAATTTTATAAAATTAATTTCTCAAAAAACATGTCACTTAATTTTAAACCCTAACGTTAAAGTGAAAGCGTGTTCGTCTAGCCGTTATAAAACAAATTTAAATTTATTTCAAATCGAGCCCAATCCAGAACATTTTAAAAGTATCTAATTCCTTATCGTTTTAAAGTCCAATTATGTTAGTCCAAATATTAATCATTTTAGGCCCAATCCACGTAGGCCCAATTAGAAAAAAACCCTCACAACCCAAGTTCTTGGCCACCTAACACCTCACATTCACGCAGCCAAACCACTGGGTAAGAATCATCTCCCTCAAATGTCATCTTTCCCAAAATAATTTCCTTGATCCATTCACTGTGAGTCACCATTGATGCTAGAACG